ATGGTCTCGATCTCTTGACCTCGTGATCCACCCGCCTCGGCCTCCCAAAGTGCTGGGATTACAGGCGTGAACCACCGCGCCCGGCTTCCAACCCATTTTTTTAAATTAAAAATAATATTGTTTATGCCCAACCAAATTTCCTAATCTGTGTCCTGGAAAACACTGCTCTACCCCATAGCAGCGAGGCATGGAGGACATTGGAGCAGACAGGGAGATGGTGCTGGAAGCAGGGTCTGCTCTGCCCGGGGAAATGGTGGGAGTTGAGCACTCTGGTATTTATCGTGAGGTCTTTTCTGCTGCACCCTCTTCCCTTGTCTTCTGCCTCCAGAAAGAAGCCCCTGTGCATGCTCCCTGGGAACACAGATGCAGGATCTTCCACACATACAAATTTGACCACATCCATGCCTTGCTAGGACCTAGCCATGGTGCCTACAGGGTGACAGGTCACCTTGCCTGTCCTTGAGAAGAATGGCTTGTTCATGCCAGGCGTGGCCTGTGAGCTCATGAGCTGAGAAATTCCTGCAGAAGCTGGGAGGGGCCCACAGAACTGACCCAAAACACCTCCTTCCCCTCTGTCCTCACATCAAGGCCCCAGGATGGCTCTTCTCAGGGAAAATCACAACCCAACCCTCTGAAAAAGCACATTAAGGAAAAATACCTTCGGGAATATCAAGTGGGTGTGGAATTTCTCCACCAGAACTTTAACCACAATAACCCATTTATTTTCCTACCTTCTGTCTCTCTCTTTCTCTCTCTTCTCTCACTGTCATGAACTTCATGAAGACGCTGACTTTGAATATTCTACTCGGCACTGCATCACCAATGTCTTGACATAAAGCCTGGAACATGGGCTTCCATGTGGACCTGTCCTGGATAAATGACCATTAATGAGACAGAGAAGGAGTTGAAGAGCCCCCAGAGGAGTGTGAGTCCCAGGGGTTCGGCCAAATCCACTCCCACCTTGCAAACCTGTGAAAGGTGCCTGAGTCACACAGTCTCTCGCACATGAATGCCATGAGCTGCAGGTGAGTGAGAAGTTACTGGATTCTGGACCGTGGGTTTGGGTTGTGAGGTCGGGACCTAATGGGCCCCATGGAATATGTCATTGGTTAGCAACATCCCAAGGAAAGTGGGGAAAGTCATAGCTCAGTAGGATCTTGTGGAATCGCTGTGCGGATGTGTGTCACAGGATGTTAACATCAGGAGGATCCTATTTTCTCCTGTTTGCCAGAGGCATCAGTGTCAGGAATGAGAGAGGGCATGTAGCACAGAGAAGGTGGGGGGTGCACTGCTTCTCTCTTGAGAACAAAGCTGAGATCAAATCTACCATGACACATACCCTGCCTGGCTCCTATCCTGCCCAAAGACCCAACCTGTCTCTGCAGAACTTGCAGGAGGGCAGGACATGTCATGACGTTACCAGCTCCTCTAGGAATATGAGATAAAAGAAGCTGCTGAGATCTGTTGATCACCCACTCACTCTGCCGGAGCCACCCCAGAGCCATGGTTCCCCGAGGCTGTATCCTGGGTAAGGAGGACAGGACCCGATTCCCACCCAAGCCCATCTCCCATCTTGGCCACCTCCAGGGCTCGCTCCCCACTCTACCCTACACCTCACCCCTGTTCCCAGGCCCAGCAATTCCCCATCCACAATGCTCGGTCCAGCCCCATCCATGGCCCTGCTTGAGTCCTCGAACTGCCCAAAGCCATATGAAGCCCTGGTTCCACCCAATCTTCTAAATATCAGTGCCAGCCACATCTGTGGCTGCTCATTTACCCTACTTTCCCCTTCTTTTCCCCACAGCTGTCTTGGCTGTTCTCTGCATCTCCAGGCTCCTCTGCTCACATGGAGCCCCAGGTGAGCCCAGGAGAAATTGGGAAGCTGGGGTGGTGCAGCTCCCAGGGGACCACATGCTAGGACTCACCTGCCACCCCACCTGGACCTCACCAGCTCTGTCTCCTCCAGTGGTCCCCATGAGTCCTTACCTGATGCTGTGCCAGCCACACCTCAGATGTGGGGACAAGTTCTACGACCCCCTGCAGCACTGTTGCTATGACGGTGCCATCGTGCCCTTGACCAGGACCCGGGGGTGTGGAAACTGCACCTTCAGAGTCTGCTTTGAGAGATGCTGTTCCTGGTACCGCAGCCCCCAGCCATCCCTCATGGTGAAGCTGATAGGCCAGAGCTGCACCTCAGAACCCACCTCGGACGACAAGCCTTGTCACAGGTGAGTCCTGTCCCCTCTCCATGGGATTGTGGGTGCAGGGGAGCAGGGAAGCCGCATGCCCGTTCTGCCCTGGGTGGAGCCCCCATTCTCCGTGTCTCCCTGTCTCTGCCCCCTGCCTCTATTCAGTCCACCTCTCCCTTTCCCTCCATCTGTGTTTCTTCCTCCACTTATTTTTACTTCCCTCTCAGAACCTCACTCTCTCAACACTGCCATCCTCTCCTCCTGGCTCTCCTGTCCTCTTTTCTGCCCATGTCCAGTCTCTCCCCCATCTCTGGGCATCTCTGTCCTGCTCAGTGTCTCTCTCTGTCACTCTCTCCAGTCTCAGCTGATGGAACATCAGGGGAACAATAACTTCTGGTTTCTGTTTCCTGGATGGTCCTGGAGAGAGAGGCTGGGGTCACCTGAGATCTGGGATGCTGAGTGGCTATTTGGGGGCAGGAGAAACACACACTCAACGCCCCCCCTCCCACTTCATTCTGCGACCTGTTTGACGCCCACCCTGCATGTGTCCTGAGGAGGGCCACAGGTGCCCTTCTAGGATTCTGGACAGCAGGAGATGCATGTGCTGATGAGGGCCCAGGGACTCTGACCCCTCATGATGACTGACCTCTATGGCCAACATCAGGGAGGCACCACCCCAAGGCTGGCGGGGAAAGCCTCACCATTCTGTGAGATTTTCCATTACCTCAAGTTCTTTTCTATCCAGGAGCAAAGCGCAGGACCATAATAAATGTATGTACTTTATAAATTTATGCTGTAGAATTCATGAATTACAGAGCTTGGGTGGTTGTGACTGGTCACAAATGGTGGTGTGGGCCCCTTCCCTTCTCTCTGTCACTCTGAGGCATCTGGGCTTCTCCATTTGCTCTGTTCACGCACACAATTATGTTTCCTTTCTCCATTTATTTTTAAATTTATTATTTTATTGCTCATGCTGTGTGAATAGGGCCCTGGCCACCCCTGGGACAGAGGCCACCCTCCTCCACCATCCCATTGCTCCCTGAACCCGGTCCCCAGCATCGGGACCAGCCCAAGTGGGCTGGAAAGGAGGTGAGAATCACACCTCAGGAGGAGCACTCCCTCTTCCACCTGTTCTTAATGTCCATTAAGGAGATGCAGACAGACTGGGGAAGAACAGCGTTTCCTTCTGCAATCAGCTATGGGGAGAAGGTCGGAGTAGCTCACCAGACCAACTAAAAATTACAAGCTTCTTTTTCTAGTGCTTATGTGCATCCTAAGTCCCATGCCTGCATGCGGAGTTCACCTGCAAGCGGGCATGTTTCATTCTGTCGTATCTAATCTTTAGCTAGTGTGGAGGGTCTGGAAAGCTTTCTCTAGAGCCTTGGAAAGTTTCTTAATCTTAAATGGCCCTAGTATGAGGAATATGTGTAAGAATGCTATCATTGTTTGACTAGTCTTTAGGATCTGAGAAAACCCAGCCAGGGTTTTAATGGGTTTGTTTTCTCATTTTTGCCCTAGTCCTCAGGCACCAGTTTCTCCAGTTCTTGAAAGTTTAACGTATGGGTTCATCAAAATTAGAATAAAGGGTTAGTGGAAATTGACTTCTCTGGTCGATAATGGAAACCTGACCTGCCACACACCCATCCCAGGCACGCGTCCCCTGGGACCATGGAAAACTCACTGGGCAGGTCCAGCACCCAGAAATGCCACTCTTAGTCTGACTTTGGGTCAAAGCTGGAGGCTGAGCAGGACTGGGTGGGACGGGGTGCAGAAGGTGTGGGCCATGGAGGAGCCTCCGGGGTTGGAAGGATGAAGGAAAGGCCTGCTGAGGCACCTGAAGCACATTCTCCAGGCCCTGCGCCGGGGGGACAAACCCTCGTGCCCAGTGCTGTTGTGGAATAGATCTCAGGGAGGGGGCTGCACTGCTGCTTACCCGACCCAGAAGCAGGTTCCCTGGGGAGGGTTCAGCCCTAGGGTCCCCACCAACCTGGATTGTCTGAAGGCAAAGCAGCCACCAACTTTCTGGGTCCCGTTTCCCAGGGCCAGGGGCTTGTCACAGGACCCAGACCCGCGCCCCTCGGGCCAGCCCAGGGTCCCAGACTGCCTGATGGCTTCCCGGGCAGATTCTGACCCAGAGGGTTCAGTCATCGCCCCATAGGTGGCAGCATCGCCTCAGTGGCCCCAGCCGGGCCCAGGCGCCAGCTGTCTGCACCTGCAGGAACTCTGGACCTGGCACATACCATGGCAGCAATCTGGCATCACAGGGCAAAACCCTGTCTCACAGACCTAACCCCAGCTAGGCCTATCAGTGGGCGCACACCCAGTGCTGGGTGAGCTCTGCCTCCCCATGCTCGGATTCTGCAGGGGCTGAGGGCTGAGGTGACGCGTAGGGAGCGACAGACCCAGGCCACCTACGGGGCGGTGCTTCCTCATCCTCCACAGCGAGCTCCTAAACCTTCACCTGTCCACATGTGACTCTTCCTTCCTCCACTCCTCTGCCACCCTATGAAATGGTCTCATCTGGCCATTTAAGTGAAAAACTAAAAAGTTTTAAGTGACTCCAGGAAAGCAGGAGAGAGGCGGGTCTCCCAGCTCAGTCCCCGCCCGAGACGCCCAGCCTGAAGCTGCGCTGCAGGATGTAAGCGCTCAAGGCATTGCGCATGCGCCGAGAGGCCTCAATCAGCCCCGCCCCTGTTAAACCCGAAATCCTTAGGTGTCTGGGTCCTGCTGCCTCCTAACCCCCTAGACCACTGGTCCAGATGCCCCACCTTCCGCGAACTCGCGGCATTGACATCAAAGCATCACCTCATCTGGCACAAGAATCTGGCACAACACAGGCCACACCTTACACCAACCTGGTGGATCCCTCCTTGGACCTGAATCCAATCAGCCAAGAGTCAGGGCTCTGGGTTCCCCCCCAAATGCCTCGCATGCACCCGGAAGGCAGCTGGCGTCTCCTCTGAGGGACAGAAATCCTGGGCGTCCCAGAATCACTAGCTGTGATTTAAATAGCACCAAATAAATTGGAAAAGAATGAAAGTGCTATAACGTTTGGCTAAGGTGATGAAACTTTCAGAGGTTGTATCAGTCCTGTCTGGTGGAGGGAGTGAACGAGTCTTCTCTGAACATCCATGAGGATGAAGGACAGTCACTGAGGTGACGGTACCAAGTCACCGACCACCTCCCAGGAATCCTCTCATTCAGTCCTCACAGGAGCACTGCATGGTCGGACCTCATTACCCACATTCCACCAAGAGGAAGCTGAAGCCCAGGGCCTTCATCCACTCATGTGCTCCAGACCCCGGGCGCCAACCCTGGGCCCCACTATCATCCAGGCCTTGGACCTTCCACTTGGGGAGCGTTCCTGTCTCATCCATGAGCCGTCCTGGGCCCAAAGAGGTGTCCAATAAACAAGAAAACAGAACAGAAAGAACTGTGATGGAGTGGATCTTGTGTAGTAAGGATAAAGTTATCTTGAGGAATTTCTGATTGGTTTCCTTTTAAGCTATTCACTGGATAACAAATTTGCCTGTCAACCTATATGGTCAAAGTCATTGTACAAAGCATCTTTCACAGGGTTTTTCATACCGTCCAGGAATGGAAACTCAGACCATGTGTAGACTCTTTGCTGAGTCAAATGTCATCCTCTGCCTCCTGCTTCATTGTTAAGCTGGGAAGTTTCTCTTCATTCATTCACTTCTTTATAGATTCTCCCTTTAAAGATAGAGAGAAGAGGGATAGAGGAGAGGAGAGAGAGGGGAAACAGAAGGGGCGTGGTAGATACAGAGAACAAGGGAGGGTCACCAGCTGGGGAAGAACAGGCACCAAGCCCTCCTCATCCCTCCCCAGGTTGAGGGTCTAAGGCCTGCATGATGGGGTGGGGCCCAGGGTCCGACCAGGTTCCGACCATGCAGCGCTGTTGAGAGGATTGAATGAGAGGATTCCTGGGAGGTAGTCAGTGAGTTGGTACCGTCACCTCAGTGACTATCCTGCATCCCCATGGGTGTTCAGAGAGGACTTGCTCACTCCCTTCACCAGACACAACTAATAAAACCTCTGAAAATGCCATCACCTTAGCCAGACTTTATGGCACTTCCATTCTTTTCCAATTTATTTGATGCTATTTAAATCAGACCTAGCGATTCCGGGAAGCTTGGGATTCCTGCCTCTCAGAGAGGACAGTGGGTGCCTTCTGTGCGCATGCGCAGCATTTGGGCGGGAACTCCGAGAGGACGCCAGGTGCCTTCTGTGCGCATGTGTGGCATTTGAACTCAAAACAGGATGCTGGGTGCCTTCTGTGCGCATGCGTGGCGTTTGAGCAGGAACCCGGAGCCCCGACTGTCTGGGCTTGTAGAAGTCAGGTCCAAGGAGGGATCCAGCAGGTTCGTGTAAGGTGTGGTCTGTGTTTCAGATTCTTGTGCCAGATGAGGTGATGCTTTGATATCAATGCCGTGTATTTGGGGAAGGTGGGGATATGGATGAGTGGTCTAGTTGGCCAGGATGAGGCGGGACTCAGCTGCCTGATTCCAGGCTTAAGACGGGGCGGGGGCTGAGTGGGGCTTCTCGGCGCATGCGCAGTAGCTTGGGCGCCAACCCAGAGGAGCAACTTCGTGGGGGCCTCCCGGGGCGGGGTCTGAGCTGGGAGACCCGCCTCTCTCCTGCTTTCCTGGAGCCACTTGAAGGTTTTTAATTTCCCATGTGTACAATCAATTGAGATCATTTCATGGGGTGGGGTGGTGGGGGGGAGAGTGGAGAAAGGGAGAGTCACGTGTGGACAGGGTGTAGGTTTAGGAGGTCGCTGTGGAGGATGAAGCAGCGCCCCTTAGGTGGCCTGGGTCTGTCGCTCCCTACGCGTCAACTCAGCCCTCACACCCTGCAGAATCCGGGCATGGGGAGGCAGAGCTCACCCAGCACTGGGTGTGCGCCCACGGATGGGCCTGGCTGGGGTTAGCCCTGTGAGACAGGAGTTTGCCCTGTGACGCCAAATTGCTGCCATGTGATGTGCCGGGTCCAGAGTTCCCGCAGGTGCAGACACCTGGCACCTGGGCCGGGCTGGGGCCACTGAGGCGATGCTGCCACCTATGGGGCGATGACGGAACCCTCTGAGTCAGAATCCGCCGGGGAAGGCCTTGGGCAGTCTGGGACCCTGGGTTGGCCTCAGGTGACTTCGAGGCCCAGGGGCGCGGGTCTGGGTCCTGTGCAGAGACCCTCGTCCGGGAAACGAGGCCCGGAAAGGTGGCGGCCCCTCTGCCTTCACGTTGGTGGGGACCCTGAGGCTGAAGCCTTCTTCGGGACCTGCTTTTGGGTTGAGTAAGGAGCAACGTGGCCCCGTTTCTGTGACCTATGCCTAGTCAGCCCTGAGCACTAGGGTTTTTCTAGAGCGCAGGACCTGGTGGCTGCGAGTCCTGTGCCCTCTGCTGGCCTTTCCTCCCTCCCTCTCCCGCCATCTCCATCCCGGGGCTCCTCCCCGGTCCGCGCCCTCCACGTGTCCTTTCCTTCCTTCCTCTCTGAATCCTTGAGGGCTCCTCCCCAGCCCGCGGCCTCTGCCCCGCCCGCACCTGCTCCGGCTCAGTCTCTGCCACCGCCTTGGTCTCCAGGTGCCCATCCCACCACCCTCTGCAGCCTTCCTGTGATTCCCGCCTCCCCCCTCAACCTGGGCTCCTCCTGGAACTGGGACTGGGTTCTGAAAGCAGTGGGAGGGCAGATGTGGGCGTGGGAGTGTGAACCTGTGGCCCTTGTCGCTGGAGTGGCTGCAGCCATCTCCCCATCGCAGATGAAAGAATAAGG